TTCTACTTGAAAAGGACTAATCTTTTCTTTGTTCAACTTTTTTTTTTTTCTCTTTTACACAAAACATACATTTTAGTTTAGCTTTAGTTAATATTAATATTATTATCATCGAAAAAAAATATTAATATTATTGTAGTATGACTACTAAAGATGCATCATACAAATTCATTTGAGGTTGTAAATTTAATTTTTTAAAAAATGCATAAGTATTTCTTAATTTATGTTCGAATTTTAAAGATATATTTATATTATATTAAGATTTTATTATATTTTAAATTTATTTTATAAATAATTTTTATTTGTTTTTGGCCTACGTGGCACTACCAACCATGTAATTTGAAAAAATTATCAGTATGCACTGGCCTAGAAGATGATGTCACGTAGAATAAAAAAGGACAAAAAATTATTTATAAAATAAGTTCAAAAAGGTAATAAAACCTATAGAAGAATGTGTCCCTGAGATTTCAGACATAAGTCAGAGGATACTATATTTTCCCTATTTTGTTTTTGTTAATCTCTTAAAAAATTTATATCTAATCAAATAAATAAAACCCAAAAAGTGTTTTAAATATGTGAAATCAAAGATCAAAATGATAATTAGAAAAAGATAGGTTTAAGGGTGTTAGATAAGTTTTGATTAGTGACCTAAAAGTGAATTGACTTAATAATTAATTAAATTTATTTTTAATCAGTTTTTGGCTTTTAAAAATATTTGATAAATATAAATATATAAAAATAATTTTAAATGAATTAAAATGACTTTAAATAAGTCAAAGCCAAAAGTAGGACTTTTAATTTGATATTTTATTTTTGACTGAAAACCTATTTTTTAAGTCAATCTAAACTAGCTCATAAAGTGTTTTGTCAAATACCGCTAAAAATTAAAAGTATATATTTAAAAGCCAAAGACAATTAAAAGTAAGTCAATTTCAACATCTCTTAAACGATAATCCTACAGAGTAAAACTACACATAAAAGATTACTACTATGATTTTTAAATTAGCGAATTTTTTTTCATAATCTAAAGTAAGTGAATTATTCAAAATTCAAGAAAATAATAAGCTTTTTCTTCATATTCTTTTCGTTTCACCATGTTTTTAACTATTATACATTTTTTAAAATATTAAAAAGTAATAATAAAAAACAAATTTTAAATTTATGTATTTAAATCATTTTCCCCTTTCTTAAATGGGGTGTGCTATCTCAACAATTCACTTACCTCGATATGAATTAAACGGAGTATCTTTGAGGTTTGTGAAAATAAAAAGAGATTATCACTTAATTACTTAAAATTATAATTTAATTAGCCTTACACGTATCTATACTTATTTTAGTCTAGATTCAACATTTTATGTATTATTATATTATATATTATTATATTGTGCTATTCACTAAACCAACATCTTCATAATTAAAAAAATTATCAAAAGCCATGGAAAATTTTGGTATACACTTGCTTTCTGGTAGATGGTTCATGTTTTTTGCTTCAATTTTGATTTTGTCTGTTGCTGGTGGCACATATATATTTGGTCTCTACTCAGAAGAAGTAAAAATTTCACTAGGTTATGATCAAACAACTTTAAATTTACTTGGTTTTTTCAAAGATTTAGGTGCAAATGTTGGGATTATTTCTGGTTTAATCAATGAAATTACTCCACCATGGGTTGTTATTCTTCTTGGTGCATTTATGAATTTTTTTGGGTATTTTTCTATTTGGCTTGCTGTTACTAAGAAATTTAGTAACCCCAAAGTTTGGGAGATGTGTTTTTGTATTTTCATTGGGGCAAATTCACAAACATTTGTCAACACTGGTGTTATTGTTACTTGTGTTAAGAATTTCCCACAAAGTAGAGGTATTGTGATTGGGCTTTTGAAGGGTTTTGTTGGTTTAAGTGGTGCTGTACTCACACAATTTTATCATGCCTTTTATGGAAGTGATGGTAAATCTTTAATCTTGCTTATTGCTTGGCTTCCTACTGTTGTTTCTTGTGTTCTACTCAGGGTTATTCGGGCTATCAAGATTAACCAGCAAGAAAAAGAAAATGAAATTAGGATTTTTTATCAGCTTTTGTTTGTGTCATTTGGTTTAGCTGGTTTTCTCATGGCTATAATTATAGTGCAAAACAGTGTTGTGTTTGGTGCTACTGGTTATTGGTTAACTGCTGGTACTATTCTTGTTTTGTTATGTGCTCCGATAGTACTTGTTGTTAGAGAGGAATTGAATTTATGGGATGTTAAGAAGCGAAATTTGAGTGTAGAGATTAAAGTTGATGAGATTGAGAGACCACTTCAGTGTTCAGCAGTTGTTGTTCCGATTAACGATCAGAAAGAACATGTTTCGTTCTTTCAAGATGTGTTTAAGCCACCAGAGAGGGGTGAAGACTATACTATACTGCAAGCGGTACTTAGTGTTGATATGTTGATTCTGTTTATTGCAACGATTTTTGGAGCGGGGGGGCTTTTGACAGCTATGGATAATTTAGGCCAGATTGGTAAAGCTTTAGGTTATCCTAAAACAAGTATTACTACATTTGTGTCACTTGTGAGTATATGGGGTTATCTTGGGCGTGTAGGTTCTGGATTCGCGTCTGAGATCTTCTTGGAGAAGTATAAGTTTCCGCGTCCATTGATGTTGGCAATAGTGCTGTTTTTTTCCTGCCTGGTTCATGTTTTGATTGCGCTTGGCGTGCCTAACACTCTGTATGTCGCGTCTGTGCTGATTGGGCTGTGTTTTGGTGCTTTATGGCCTTTGATATTCGCGATCATATCTGAAATCTTTGGGCTTAAGCATTACTCCACATTGCTCAACTTTGGGGGTGCTGCTAGCCCGATCGGAGCTTACATATTCAATGTTAAAGTGGCTGGTAATTTGTATGACAGAGAAGCAATGAAACAATTGGCAGCTCATGGGATCATTAGGAAACGCGGTGAAGACTTGACTTGCACTGGAGTTGAGTGTTATAAGTTGGCTTTCTTGATAATTGCAGCATCTACTTTTGTGGGGTTCATTGTTTCATTGGTTTTAGTAATCAGAACATTCAAGTTTTACAAAGGGGATATCTACAAGAAGTTTAGAGAACAAGCCAAAGCAGTCGATGCTGCTGAGTCTCAGTCCAGAACAAATGGTGATACTCCATTATAGTCATTCTGATATGTGATTATAGTTTTGACATCTTGTGCTTATGGCTGATATCAGTATGTACAAGGAGTTGAAAGTGTATACAAGATTTACAAGTTGAATTTTATCTATGTAATGGAAGATTTGTTCTAACTATAAGTTGTGTAGAAACAAACTTGAACCGAGGGTCTTTCAGAAAAAACCTCTCTATCTCCATGAGGTAGTGATAAGGTCTGCGTATATTCTACCCTCTTCAGACCTCACTTGCGGGATTTCACTCGATACATTATTATTGTTGTTACGTAGAAACAAAGTTTATAGAAATTCAATTACAAAGATTTGCTAGCCTCAGAAAACTTCAGTGAGTAGAAAGAACTAGGTACCACAAAATCAGGCAGCAGTACTTGTTAGGACCGAAAATAAGCAGGTGTAAATGCGGAAGCTAGCAAAGCAAATCTCGAAAGACCACGAGTAAGAAGACAACGAGAAATATACCAAATGACACAGAGATTTAACGTGGTTCGGTCAATCGACCTACGTCCACAAAGGAGATGAGCAATCCACTATAAACATGAGAATACAAAATACAGAGAGAAACAACCTCAACCAATTCACTCGGAATACATGGGAGGTTCACACAAATGATAACGTATCAAGCTTGTGACCCACAAATTCTCCCTCTAACCAAAACTCTCAATCCCTTAAGACTACATTGTGAATGCTAATTAAGTTAAAAGGAACATGCCTCTATTTATAGAATCCTAAACCTTTTCCTACAAGAAAAGGATTAGTCAATCCAAAACCTTTTCCTACAAGGAAAACCTATTTATGGTAAGAAATTTAGGGCAAATTAAACCCAACAAATCTCCCCCTTGGCCTGAATTTCTGACAAAATAAATTTGTCCACCTTTTTGACTTAATCTTCAACAACTTGCTTCTCCTCTCCATAATCTCCTTTGCAAAATTTATGTCTCAACACAAAGAATCTCTCTGAAACAATTTCTCCAACAAAATCTTCATTAGAAATTTAGGGCAAATTAAACCCAACAGTACTACCATTGGACCTAGCTAGCTCTCAGCTTAGTTGCACGGACTTCTCACTTTTGATGTCGCACTTATCTTGGATTCTTCAAAAATACACTATTTTGGTGAATGCAACGCGCACCCATTGACATTTTTGAAGAGTCTGACCAACATAGGGCTCCTAGTAAGTTTGGCTTTAAGCCAAAGCAGCTTGACTCTCCCTTCGTCTCAATTTGATTGTTTGGTTTTGATTTTATACGAAATTTAAGAAAATATGAAATTTTTTTAATTTTGTCGTCTTAAACGTGTCATGCAGAAAGTTAGAACTAAAGTATTGTCAAAACAAAAAATATTCTTTTTCTAAAGTAAGAAAAACAAATTGTAACGGAGGAAATAAGTGATATTAACCCATGATAAGAACCTAAAGGTTGAGTCTTGTACCACTTTTTGAATTTTGGATTCATTCTTATTTGCGAATGGTGAAAATCTTTAATAAATGACACTTTCCTATGTAACGAGCACAATAATATATAAATTTAAATTAATCGAGTCCACAAAAAACATACAGCCAATATGTGTAAACCATAATATGTCAGGAATCAGGATCATGCTGCAATCACAGCTGCAAAAGAAAAAAAAAACAGTTCCCTTTATTTTCCAGCTACATGAATTTTGTCATCAACCAAAAATGATAGAAATCATTATTATAAGTAGATCAGAAAATTTTACCAGAATAATATTTCACTAGTTTTTTTAATTTTCTAGCTAAATTTTTTTGGTACTAAAAAACATAATTCAAAGTACAAGATCCAAAAATGACTTTACTATTATTATTATTTTTTGAATTCATCATTCATAATTGAACTCACATTTCTTCAATAATTTGCTTACAAAAAACATACATGGTCCATCCACCATGTCGATAACAGTACAAAATCTGAGCCAATCAATTCGTATCACCCACAATTATATAGAGATTTTTGATTAGTCGAATCAGTGAACTTTGAATATTACATCATTAATTTTAAAAAATACAGACAAACTAGAGACAATGATACACCACTTAAACTTTTTTGATCTTTTCATATGATTAACGCGGAAAAACTAATTGATTGACTAGGTAAGAAATACAAATATCGAACTACTCATCTATATTTTTTGTTGTTGATGTTACTAATTCTTTTGAAACCATTGCTTCCCTTTGCACTCTGAATTTCTTATATATATCACCTTTGTAAAATTCCCTTGTTCTAATTGCTAGAACAAGTGAAACAACACAACTTATTAATGTAGCACCAGTGATAACCAAAAAGGCCATTTTATAACACTCCACACCAATACAAGTCAAATCTTCACCAACACCTCTTATCAATCCATTAGTTTTCATTTGTCTCAGTGCCATTTTATCATACCATTGGCCCGCAACTCTAACATTAAGAATATATGCACCAAAAGGGCTAGCTCCACCACTCAAATTGTACAAAGTTGAGTAGTATTTAAGCCCGAATATCTCCGATACAATGGCGAATATCAAAGGCCATTGTGCTCCAAAACAGAACCCCATTATGATTGAAGAAATGTAGAGGGAATTAGGGACCCCAAACGCGATGAGAAGGTGCCCGGTACATGACAGGAGGAGGACTATTGTGAGCATCAACGGGCGAGGGAACTTGTATTTTGACAAGAAGATTTCGGATACAAAGCCTGAGACAACACGCCCTAGGTAGTTCCATATGCTGAGTAAGGACACAAATGTTGTAATGCTTGTTGAAGGATAGCCTAAGGCCTTCCCTATTTGGCCTAAGTTGTCGATAGCTGTCAGTGTACCGCCTACCCCAAAAGTAGTCGTTGTAAACAGAATCAAGAAATCTAAGCTGAAAATGGCTTGCAGTATTGTGTAGTCCTCACCCCTTGGTGGTGGATTAAACACATTACTGTACCACCAGATATTTGGTTTTAAACAACTGATCTCTTCCGGTTCTGGCTGAACAGAACACGGAGTTTCTGTTACAACGTTCACCTGTGGAGTATCATGTAAGGCTTGTCGCTTACATTTCCACAAGGTAAACTCTTCTTTAAAGACGAGGATGAGCGGAGCTAAGAGCAAAATCAGTACTACAGCAGCACTTCCTGCATATTCAACCCTAGTGAAACTTACCTTATTTTGAACAACAATTACAACCATGATAAAACCAGCTAGGCCAAGTGAAATGATCAGAAGTTTGTAGAAAACTCGAAGCTCGTTAGCCTGTCTATCCACCTTCATAACGCGAACACTTCGTAGAAATAAGCAAGAAACAACACAAGGCAGCCAACCAATTAACAGAACAAGAGACCTCACATCATTTCCATAGAAAGCATGATACAATTGTGTGATAATCGCGCCACTTAAACCAACAAATCCCTTCAACAATCCAAGTACAATTCCCCTGCTTTCGGGGAAATTCTTGACACAAGTGACTAACACACCAGTATTAGCAAATGTCTGAGAACTTGCACCAATGCATATGTAAAAACACATTTGCCAAACAGGAGGTTTAGCTATACGCCCTACAATCGCAAGCCATACCATGAAGTAACCAAAGAAATTCATGATGGCTCCCATTAATAGAACTACCCATGCTGGAGTGACTTCGTTGATAAAACCGGATATCATTCCAACATTACCACCTAAGTCTTTGAAGAAACTTAGTAAGTTTAAAGTTGTTTGATCATAGCCTAATGAGGATTTGATTTCATTGCTATAAAGGCTGAATAAGTAAGTTGCACCAGCCATTGACATGATTAGAAGAGAAGCAAAAACCATGAACCATTTGCTCATGAGAAAATGGATGCTAAAGCCTATCATATTAGCTTTGTAGCCACCATTTTCAGTTAACTTTGCCATTGGAAACTTATAATATGAGTGGGAAAAAAAAGGACTTACTTGTGTTTACTACCATACTAACATTAGGTATTTATAAACTACTTACAACATTTAGCTACGTCTCAGTTTCAAACAAATTGAGGTCGACAATTACACTATCAAGTTAACCAAAGAGTGTGGAGCCACCTTTTGTTTTACACTAGATAGCTAGGTTAAAATTTTTATATATATATATATATATATATATATATATATATCGACACCCCTTATTATTTACGTATAATACATAAATATATTTTTTAAACTTGACCTTAATTTGCATCTATGCACTTTAATATGGGATGTTTACAAGTAGACACGTGTCCTACAGCATAATACTTGTAGGATGTCGCGTCGAGCGTGAATTGCCACGTATGACGACGAGTAGACGTATGTGTTTGCTTGTTCAACTCTATATAAGTTTAAGTGTCTACTTGTAGACATCCAAAGTTGGAGGGCTAGGTGTAGAGGAAGCTAAGTTAAAAGACATGTTTATGTATTATGCGTTTTTAATATTTTGACTCCTCCTCAGTAAAATTTTTAACTGTGCTATGAACCGAGAGATATCTATGTAAACGTTCTTAAAATGTGGGAGTGGGAGATAGGTTAGTTGCTACACAATATAAAGACTATGATGGTGTAAGATTTTTAAGACACAAAATTAAAGCAAATAAATAATAACTACAAAAATTTAATTTGAAATGAAAATTTGTAGAGTTTCATTGAAAATAACTTCAAATTCATCATATTCAAATTTTGCCATAAAGATTAATATTAATTTGAAGCAAGCACAAATTGATGACTTTTTAATTTTTTCTTGTTCATCACATTTTTTGAATTTATTAATAGAAATTAAAGGAAATAAAGGTGGGATGGATCCGTCTTGATGAACGAGAAAATTATGAAAAGTATAACAAAGAAAAAAGAAGAAGAGATTGGAAGACAAATAAATAGGGTAGGAGTGGGGGTTCGTTGGGGGTGGGGGTGTCGAAGAAGAAGAAAGGGTAGTGCAGGTGGTGGTTGACGGCGGGAGAGGTGGATTGTGTGTGAGGAAAATGAAAGGACGGGAGGTGGGGGTGGGGTTGGTGGTACTAAAGGTTGGGTGAGGGTGGTAGGGTATGAAGAAAAAAAAAGATTATTGGATAAAATGAAAATAATTGGGGTCCATTTATTCTTTTTTTTTTCTTTTTTATCTTTAGGCGCCTCATTTTTTTTTTATTTGTCATGCCAGCGATTTGGATGTATTTTAATTCACTTGAAAAGAGATTAGGAGGGTAAATAATTATCCGTGTAGTTTAAGTACTAAAGCAAGTTTTCGTGCCAAGTTCAGGTGGGATTTTATGTATTTTCCCTTTTCTTTAAAACAAATTAAAAAGAAAATATGGTCATTCTTTTTGAAACGTCTAGAGAATTGTCTTTTTAAAGATAAACTTGTTTTAGCACCTTAACATCTACATTAAAGCAAAGTGAATTGCAAAATCTAATTTAAAATTAAATTCAGAGATTAAACACGTCTCGTTATTATTTCGGAGATTTTTTATTATTATTAACGAGAAAATTTACAATGGTTATTCTTCAGATAAGCAACGTTATCTAAGTATACGGTCAACTTCTCATAAGAAAAATAAATACTATAGCACTTCAATTTCAAATGTTTTTTTAAATTACAAATTTAACATAGACAACACATGTTATGACTAAAGTAATATGTTGGACAAATGGTCGAATTATTAAATCATGTCATCTATCTCTGTCCCACATAATTGAAGTTCCAAAATTTGGAAAATGTACACTAATTTTTAATAAATAAATTACGTATTTTTATACATACTATGAAATGATTACTTAATAATATTTTCTCAATCTCAATTATCTTAACTTTAAAATTAGTTTTTCTCAAATGATTTTCATTTAAATTAATTTTTCTCATTTTATCTTTTGTAGTAATTGTTTTTTATGATCACAAATGCTTTATTTATGATACCACATTGTCTTAAAGACATGAAAAAGAGTAAGAATAATCAAAGTTGTTCATAACATATTTTTTATAAGAGACGTATAAAAGAGAAACACGATAAATAATTCAAAACAGATGAATCATTAATTAACCTAACACATATTTTAAACATATGCATTCATATTTTTGTGATGTTGAATTGTATGGACTAAAATAATAGATTTATGACAACCACATGACATTAATATGGTAAAATGCTAGTGGAAAAAAAAGAGACACAATGTTGACTTATACTTTGTCTTGGCAAGCAAATTGACTAAAGAAATTGACATTTATTTTTGGTAATTTGTGTTTTGTTTATACTCTCTCCGTATCTAAAGAAAAATAAAATTTTAGCTCATTTTATATATATTAAAAAATTTATAATTTACAAAATTACTTCTATTTAATATAGATATACGACACTTCAAACTGAACATTTTAATATAAATATATATATAATTGGAAGTAATTATTATATTTTATCTTAAAATTTTTAAACGATATCTATTTTTAGACATTATTACTATTTTTGGCTGAAATAACATTAAATTGAGACGGAAGAAATATATAATACGAACAATAATAGTTCCTTTGTGTGAACATGTCTTTCAATCAATTTGATAAGTCTTCAAACAAATTGATTAAATATGATACCCCTCTAGGAAATTATCTTAAATTAGTGGTGTAGAACATCTACGAGCCATTTTGGAGAATCCTATAGATAATATTTGGATTAAAGTTTTGCGATGTAACAAATTCAATGTAAAAATTAGGTGTGAGGACCAATTTTCATGTATAATTATGAGTTCTTAGCTATTATTTGAATAGTCATCGAAAAATAATAATGCTTTAATACGAAAATATACTTTAATAGAAATACTTTTAAATAAAAAAGAATTTGTAAGTGTTTGAATCTCATTAATCGGTCCTTCAATTTTAAATTTATAAAGCTTTAAAACTTGTGATTTTTCCTTCCTTAACTTTGAAAATCCAACACTTCATTAATCATTTTTTTTGAATATATATAAGTCTGAACTTCATGGATCGTTTTTATTTTTGAAGCTCTAGATATTAATATTTTCGATTTTGAAACTTTAACAATTTTTTGAACCCCATGGATCGACTCTAGTGTTGTTAAAGTTTTTGCACGAATTGATCCTATTTTGGGATAGTTTTCAATTTTTGTCCTCAAATTTAATGTGTTCATGCGAGTGTTTCTCATTTAACAAATATTTGCTGATAAAAGCATCCATCTATTGGGACCTAATTATTTTGAGAACTTTTGTCTCACTCGACATAAGTTTAATAGAAATTAAGTTACGATAAATTATGTAGTATTTTTTAGAATTTATCGTAGTGTTTAGAAATGGAAATTCTTTTAGAAACATGTGGTACCTTATTTTCCTTCTTCTTTTTAAATGATGAATAATATGTATGGTAGATGTGTAGTGTTTTTTGTTACATAAGTTGTGGAATATTATATTTGGTGTTAAAACACAATCTCTTGCATTTTTTTAAGACATAATTTATAGAATATTATAATATAAAAATATAAATTTATATCCTTCGAAATTTTATTTGTTACTTCATTGTTAGGGACAATTTTAGTAATTAGTTGTTATTTATATATTTCGAAGGATAAAATTTGAAGACCACCAATATATATCTGTCGATGGCGCGATATTATTAGAGGAAAGAAGAAGGCCCATATACAACTACTTCAGTATAGGCCTAAGCCCAATAATCTCTAACTGGATTGTAACCTCTGTCCCTCCAAGGTCCAATCTAAGTAAAAAAGAAAAATTGCTTAATCACACAAATTTTTTTATCATAAATATTAATTCATTTTATACTTTAAAATAATTTCATATTGTTTCAATAATTAATGATTTTATATTGAATTTCAAGTTAGATATATATACGTATTTTAATACTATATACATTATGAAACATAGATACAAAAAGGAAAGGGGTGAAAGAGAGAGTTAATATATATTTTAAATACATGTATATCACATTAGATACATATATATAGAAGAGAGGAGATCAGGGTAGGATGGATGCAATGCAAATAATGCTTAGATACAATGTATATATAATATATTACACTTAATTTAACCCGCATATATATATTATATATATATATATATATATATATATATATATATGGGCATGTGTATTTGAGTGTGCTACATACATGTAATTGGCAAAGTAAATGTAGTACGAAAGATGATTTCACAAACTAAAGTGCAAACATCTGATTAGCTAATAAACTAGTGGGATTTCTGTTGTTTGCTCAAAATAAAATTATATATATAAAGAAGCATGATACAGACATATTACCTTTAACTTGGTTTCATCCTTCAGGCTTCAATGCATAAGTTGACACTTAAATTGGTATAAAATTGAATAAGAAGACACGCACAGAATCGGAGCCAAGGTTAAGAGTTTGTGGGTTAAAATGTTAATATACATATATTTATTTAACTTTCTAATGCAAACATAGGGTCTACAAAAAAGATAGTCTGTTTGTTCGAACCCATGAACCCCCACCTAGCTTCGTCTATGCACATGACACTACATCACACAATATACGTAGAATGTTTTTTGTCATGTAGGATGTTAAGTAGACAAACATGAGTTTATGCGGACAACTTTATATAGGTTTAAGTATTGCTAAGCACACACCAAATTAGAATGTATAAATAAAAATGAAACTAAGTTAAATAACACGTTTACGTATTATGTAAAATAAAATAAAATTGTGGTAAATAAATTATAAAACTTGTTGAGAAGGGTACTATATAAACTTTTGAATATTTTTACCAACTGCCTTCTTCTTCCCTAAAATTTCACGCTAAATACAAAAATCACAGCGAAAATTCAAAGAGAAATAATCAATCCAGCGCAATCAATTCAGGTTCTTGCAATAATTTCTTTGCGTTTTGCCAATTTTTTCCATATTATTCATTGAGTTGTTGAAAATCAAGTGAAATTTCTTAATTGTTAGAAATTAATTTCACAGTCTGAAT